ATATACATCTATTTATCTCCATCAACTCCCATAATAAACATTGAAAAATATGGGCTCAGCCATCTTCTCTTACGGAGAAGAGCAGCATGTTCTGTCACTCTGCTTTCAATTAGTCATCCTGATCTCTTCTTTTTTTCTTTTCTTTTTTTAAGCTGGGAATCATCATTGACGTGCATTGATGTTTTTTTAAAGCCCATGTTACTAATGTAGTAATGGGCCATGTGGTAAAAGTGTGCTTCCTTTTAAACTAACATGAAAAGCATCAGTAAGATTTGATACATTTCTTTCGGATTCATCTACTGGGACTGTAAGATCCAAGTAGTTACTGCACTTGCTTGCTGTACTGTTTGCTGTAAAACTGTGCCAGAGCTATGTAATCACCCTTGAACAGTATATGATACAAGATGTCCGAGTATTGTGGGCTTCCTGGATTTCTATATTTGGAAGTCCTTACTCGGATGAATTTTGACTGAAGGTGGTATAAAAAAATTGATGGAGAAAAAAAAAAATATTTCAACATTATTGGATTATTTAAAAAAAAAAAATCTACATTTAAGTTATTTTGTAAGTGTATTTTGTTCTTCGGAGGAGGGGGGAAGTTTCAATAAAGCTACAGCATAACTCGTCAAACTCTCCTTTTTCTCCTTGTTATTAAACAGTTTGCAAGTTTGGTTATGTTCTTTGCTGTTTTTGCAGGTTCCAGTTGTTAAAATCACTCATTTCACATATAGGGGTAGCAAAGTGTAATGCTTGTACATTGGAATCTGTACAAATTAAACATTATTTACAGTCTTGTTTTAACCCACTCCTTTTTTTTCGTTATCAGGTATTCTTTTCAATTCAAAGAACATTAATAGAAGTTCATGTTAAAGATGTTTTTTTGTTTTTTTTTTGAAAACTACATGAACATTTGTTCATGGATTTACAGGCCAGTGCCAGTTATTTTTTTTAATCTTTTATTGCATGTCAACAATTTTCCCCAAAATTGTTCATATATTTTACCAAACTAATGGGCTCTATGCACGGCGGTATTTCCGGTGAAGGTCTAAGGATGCTGGATTACTTCCGCCGATCGTAGAGTCCAATGCTATACCGAGAATTTATATTGGTTTTTATACTCTATTGCTATACTAAAGAAACGTTAGTCACAAAAACAGACAAAACAGACACCCCTCATTTTGTTTATGCTTCTTTGTTTATTATATTAAATAAACATAACTATATATAAAATTACATCTAAACGTATTAAAGTTTCGTTTCAAAGACGAGAGGACAGTAAATTTTGAAGACTCTGCCTGCTGCCATAATCCCGTTTTCCTCGGTTTTCCTCCGCTTTAAATCCCCCCAACCGGAAACGCAAGAGCATCCTTGCATCAAACGCGGCAGTTATGCGTGCATATAGCCCATAGGTGTACATAAAAGTAAGTTGTGAGAGACTGTAATGCCGGTGTTCAACACTGGAGGGAGGCGCCACACAGCAGAGAAACTTTAGTAAGCAACAACAAACAAATATGATTGCAGTATCCAAAAATGGAGAAATTGTAACTTTTAAATCATGTGGTTTTAAAGTATAAGGTTCAGTAAAAAAAAAATCCAATCATCTGAGACAGGTTCTCACCGTTAAATTGATGTAAACATTTGGTCAGTGTCAAAAAATGTGTCGTATGTTGCTTTAAAACAGAAATGTAGCAAATGAATATGCATGAAGGCATCTGTGAGATGTTTTGTTGGAAATCAACAAAAAGTTTGGCAGTAATTAGGAATTGTACTGCTTTTCAAATCAGCCATGAACTTTTAAATGAATCTCTTTTCCGCTCTCTCTTCATCATCATCACCTTCATCCCCATCGCTATTCGGTGGCACCTTACCATCCCCAACGGCCGTGTTGCAGTTTCTCGCACAGTGTAGGTGGCCTCTCTGCCTCCCCAACCCCCCTTCCGTGGCCATAGTGTTTGTGGGGCATGGTGATTTTGCAAGTGGGAGGCTCGTAAAGGCCTGGCTGGACTACCGGGCAGTGTGATGGATGGAGGGAAGGCCGCAGACTCCATTTACATGAGAACAGAAGCCGGAGAGCGGCTGAATAGAGGGGCTTTCAATCTGCTTGTCATTGAAAAAGCTTAAGAACTTTCTCCAGCGACTAACCAACCCCCCAGCTCCTCTGCTCTCTCTCCTTCTTACTTTCTTCTTTATTCTCGACCCCCTTTTTCCCCCCTTGCTGTCTCTCTTGCTTTTCTTCCACCACCGTCCTCCTCCCCTCCCTCTGTCCATCGCTCTTTCTTTTCTCTCGAACCCCCCCCCCCCTCCCCCCCTCTCCCCCTCTCCCTCCCTACTTCATTTTTTCCTCTCTCTTTTATCTCAGACCATCCAATCTGTCATTCTGGATCTCTGCGTCTCTCGCATGTATGATGTTTGGCTTCTTTCAGGCTTTCTCTGGACTCTCCGGCTCTCTTGCGAGGCCCCCACTTAAATTTTGATTTGATTGTCGACACAACACCAGGAGACATCAATGTGTTTCCTCTCTTTATTCTCCTGCTCTAGCTTATAATGAGACTGATCCCATACATGAGAATGACTCATGCACAATAGCTCCGGCACACTCCATATTCAGCCTCCACATAAAGTAAGGTTAATTGTATAATAAGTGTGTGACAATGACCTGCGACAATGGCTCGAGTCAATATTGACGCCGTACAGTGGGGTTTTGCAGCGTCAGGCCGTGAGCCAGTAGAAAACGGCAGCTCACGTGTCGCGCATGAGATTTTTTTACATTTCTGCTTTGGTTTGAGGTAATACCACCTGTTGCTCTTCTATGGACTTCCATCGTGTCAAAATGGGCCATAGGTTTCAGTCATTCAAACTGTCACAAAGCCAGAGAAAACATACTAATCCAATAGGAGATTCTGGTTTTACAACCCACTGTCTAACACAGAGACAATGGATATCTACTGCTGGTTGACATCAACACGTTTCATGCCCTACTACTTAGCTTTGCACCATCACGTTCTTTTAAAATGTGTTTTACAATGGCACTTACTTATATAAACAGAACAAATCTAACAAATTAATTTAACAAACTTATTTTTTACATTCAGGCAGAATCACTTTCGGTCCACATTAGATTTGTTGTCAATGATTAAACGGGAGAAACTAGAACAAAGGAGAAGAGAATGGAGTACAGAAACTCCTCCTTATCCTCTTCTTGGAATGCTGAGGATCGGATGAGTTTGTTCACTCATGAAAATGTAATGCTGACTATTGCTTTAAAAGTAAACTAGTAACTTTTGTAAGTTGTTAAAAAGACCCTAATGAAGTCATTTTTATAACAGCTTTTTTGGTAGGCCTTATAGGAACCATTCAGATGATGTGTTAGTACAAGCTAAACTCAGAGGGGGGGAGTTCATTGTCACACTTCTTACTGATGGTCAGTCGTAGTCGTAGTGTTTGGGGATGCAGGGCTCACAATAGAAGTGTGAAGTGATGCCTATAGAAACTAATGTGTATGGATGGCTGGGTGATAAGGAGTAACTACTCACACCTGCGGTCATTAGAGAAGATGACTCGCTGGGGTAGAAGACATCCGAGTACAACAGCATCAGGGAAGATGGCTAAAAGAGAATGAAAATAAATATCAGTAAAGTTTTTCAACAATTAAAATAAAAGGTTCCAAAAGTGATGCCATAGATGAACTACCTTTGTTTCCCCCCAAAAGTAATCAGTTCTTATAATAAAAAAATAAAAAAAGTCTTAGTGTGGAATACATTTTAATCATCTAAGAACACTTTCCCCCAATAAATAACCTTTCTTTTGCATTGGAACGGTTCCATGGATGTTAAAGGTTCTTCATGGAACCATCAATGCCGATAAAGAACCTTTATTTATCACAAACCTGAAAATGTACTTCATGTGGTAACATCTAAAACAACTCAAGTCATGAATACAATTTTATGCACGAACAAAAGCAGTGCCAAATTGCAACAAACTTTTAAAGAAATCTCTATAATTATAATTGGTATATTTGTAAATATTATCACTAAGGATTTTCTTAATGCAACATAGAGAGTACACATATTCTGTATAGGCTATAATTTATATATATATACTATTGTGTCCTTACTTTATGAATCAATCCTGTTACCATCATAACTACCCTTATTAGAAGACATTAGATGTACAATTCCACAAATAAAAAACTTTGTCATGACAATATTTTTTCAGAATGTGAGCTTTTCAAAGACAAGTATGTCGGTACTTTTTTTCAACCTCTTTTGGTTATATTTTGTAGGGGTTTGTCAGTAGGGGATCTTAAGCAAGACAGTGTTATGATTTTACAGTAAACAACTAATTATAGAGAACTGGATAATTGTTTGGGGGAAAATAACAAATAAGCACATTGTAGTGTTGTGACCTTGGACACAGCTCGGCTAGTAACTTTAAGTCCCATACTTTTTTATTTACTTTTAAATAAGCTTTATAATCCAACCTATATTGAAATGATTAAATTTAGCCTGATATGGCACAATGCAACATTTATAACATAGGCCTACATAAAACATTTCCTTTAAAAATCGCCTATTAAAAATAGAAAAGGAAACAATTCTGTGTAATGACCCAAATAAAAATGACTGTCCAAAAGTTGCCTTTTCAACAGGTAACAAGTGTATAATAGAGTATAATAGATGATGTTGTTTTGGTCAGAAATGAAAAACAAGACACAAAATGGTATTCCTTGAAACTGTGGATAGATAAATAGTTCACAAAAAGTGTGGATAAATAAATGAAACTTTAATTAATTAAATGTTATTGATGTCTAATAATTTTGAGGATAAAAAACTAGATGGCCACAAAGTGTTATATTGTAAAATCAGTTTAAAGTGTTGCAGGTGAAGACAGAAACTCTTCTCCCCAAAACTGAATCCTCCTCCTGCTCTTGGCCTCTCTACATTCACCGCACCCCTTCTTTAGTGATGCTAATGTGGAGAGAAAGAAAGCAGCTGGAGGCGGACAGTGATGAAATTCTATTATCACTCAAGCACTGAAAGAGTCGCAGGCAGGACGCACAGTGAGTTCAGCTCGGACCTGTTTCACTTTTAAGACAAACTAACGTCACTTCAGAACTTGTTGATTGTCTTTAGCCGTTTACAAACACTTCTCGCTATAGTTACAGTCAGTTCGCTCTCGTCTTTTGGACTTAGGCTACTTGTCCATGAAATAGGCGCTTAAACGTTTAGCTTCGCGGACACTGAAAGTCATTTCATTTGATTTAAAGTCATTTAGCAGTTTACGGTGATACTTACGTATCACCACTAAACTCTGTGGTCAGTCATGTACAGCATGCTGGAACACGACATGAAGTCCGCCGTGCCACCGACGCACCAGAGCGCGCAGGGAATGACCCAGCTGAACGGTGGAGTGACTCACGGAACCGGCAAACCGACTGTCAACAGCCAACAACAACAGGGTGGCGATCCTATGGACAAAGTTAAGAGGCCAATGAACGCGTTTATGGTCTGGTCTCGGGGTCAGAGGCGCAAAATGGCACAGGAGAACCCCAAAATGCACAACTCTGAGATCAGCAAGCGCCTGGGCGCCGAGTGGAAGCTGCTGACGGACGCGGAGAAACGGCCGTTTATCGACGAGGCCAAGCGGCTTCGCGCACTGCACATGAAGGAATACCCAGATTATAAATACAAACCCCGCCGTAAAACAAAACCCGTGCTGAAGAAGGACAACCCGGCTGCTAAGTATCCCCTATCAGCCGGTAACTTACTGGCGGCAGCCGCGGCTCAGGGGTCAGGTGGAAGCCCGCGGATGGACAGCTACGGCTGGGGTCACACAGGTGGCTATGCTGGCATGCAGACGGACGCTCTGGGTTACAGTCAGCAGCTTCACCGCTATGATCTGTCCGCCCTGCAGTATCCATCCGCCATGGCCACAGCACAGTCTTACATGAATAGTGCCAACTCCTACACGTAAGTTTATAATTATTCCTACAGGTGTTTATGTGTGCACTTCAATAACATGCTCACTAAATCAAATATTTGTGTGGTCTTTAACACTTTTTCTTTCATTTCTCTCAAGCCCCATGTCTTACAGCAGCACTCCACAGCAGCCCAGCCCGGTCATGTCCATGGTGAAACCGGACCAGGTGTCTCACTCTCCCACCGGAGCCCACAGCCATCAGAGGGGTCCTTTACAAGGAGACCTGAGGGACATGATTAGCATGTATATCCCTGGTGGAGACACCACAGACAGTGGAGCACAGAGAGGCTATTCCAATATCCAACAGCATTACCTCTCCGGTACAGCACCTCTCACTCACATCTGATCAGGAAACTGTCATTACCTTCCTGTTTCAGCTCTGCATGGAGGGCCAGCAGTGTCGGTTGTAGATGCGTGAACATTAACTTGATATGTAAAAAAGGATGAGGGTGTGTGGACACATGGTGGAACTGGATATACCAAGGCAGCTGGACTTCTGGCCTTGTTGAAGTGCCTCAGAATATTGTGTGGAATGTGTGTCGCCCCTTTCTATCACGTTTTTTTTAAGGTCCATGTCTGTTTTCTGCATAGCGTTCGATGATTATGTCATTGAGGCCTGGTGCACTGTTGATGGAATTGCTTAGTAACACGGTACTTTTTTTTTTTTCTGTTATCAACTGGCCGTTGTTTTTAATCAATCAGCTGACTGGTTGATTACTGCTTATTTTTTGCATAGTAAACCAGCTAGTTTAATATGTCACTGACTACTGACTTTAAAGACATGGCTGTAATTGCTAAATAGGGAAAGAAGGGAATTGAGCACACATTCCCTCAGTCGCTGCTTGTCTTGATGATCTAAACACCTCAAAATGAATCTCCCGAGTTTTACTTTTAAGCTTTCATACCACAAGACTTTGTAACATTGTGCTGCTCTTCATTGTTTAGGTAATGCAAAAATATGAAATGCACAACGGTTTAGACATTTTTGTTAGTGTAGATACATTTATGCCCAGAGCTTCGACAGATTTTTGTTGCATTAAAAAGTGAAAATGAAATAGAGATCCTGCTTAGAGAGATTTGACTGTATTTTCTATTAAAAAAAAGAACAATTAATTCTCAACTCATTTGAGAAATAGAACTTTGTGAATAGAAGTGTTGTGTGTATAAAAGGGAGTCAAAACGTTTTGAATAATGTTCATTAAAAAACGAAAACTTTATGAGCTTGTTAAAAGACTGTTTGACTAAGAATGTATTGTGAAATGTTTTTTTAAGCCCTTATAGTAAGGGTTAATAATCTTGTATGTGACTTGACAACCTTGATAGAAAAAAAAAAAAAAAATTAATAAAGTATTTTATTATTTTTGTACACTTGTCTTTCTTTGTTCTCATTATATTAAAATATGAACACACAACTATTTGTTTTAATTTTCAGTTTACAATGTGCACTTAAGTGCACAATAATGTCATGCTACTCAGGTAAACTGTATTTCAGCAGGCTTTAACAGACAACATAAACAATAATTTTGATAGAATGTTTGTTGCAACAAGCATCTTGAGATATAAAAACCTTCGGAAATAACTTCTCTCAAAATTATTGGGCTATAAGAATTTTCTAAACTTAACAGATTTGATGCAACAGGCCCAAGAAAAGTCCAGGGCTGAAGCTGCAAGTTAGTTAAAACATGGCACTTGTGATTAGCTTTTCTACTTGTTCTTTTCCACTTGCACACATTTTACAAATTCAATTCAAACACAAGATTGTGACGTTCATGAGTACTAAATGGTGGAAAGAAAGTAAGCCTCACGTTTGTTTAATGATAACATGGCAGGTGTTGCTCTCCTATGGCGCCACAACCTACACACTTTCACGCATTTAGACGATAATGTGATAAGTGCAAGACAGCCCAGCCAAACACATCGGCCTTTATTGCGAAATTACTGAAACGAGCTTTTTCCAATGATTAATCAAAACTATGGACCCACTTTATATGGCTGCTCATTTAAATGCGACCAGACTCGTTTAATTCATCGTTAATATGATAGCGGGCTTATGGTCCCGACATTAACGCATTTAAGTCGATATGACTAATATTATAATTAGCTAAAGCGCACCAAATTAAGCAAGAAAAGAGAACAATGAGTGCAGAAGACACTGATTTTGGGAGGGACGGGGTCTTAATTTTGGCGAGTGCTGAGGGGACATCTGACCTCCGTCACCTAACCCCGAGAAGAAAGTGGACATCGATTAAAACTGATAAAAGTTAGGAGGATCAAAACACAGAGGTCGGAAGAATATCCCTCCCTTTCTCTCGGTTTTTTTTTTTTTTTTTTCATACTTTGCCCGCTTTTTCCAGGAGAGAAAGTGAGTGGCTGTCCGGCCCGTAATTGGCCGTTTCGGAGTCTCATTGTCCTGCGCTTTTGAGCACGCAGGTGCGCGCAGTAAAAGCGCGCGGTTCTCAGCGCCTCTTATGCTCGCCTTTGTTCTCTTTTCTCTCGCTCTCCTACCGGGCAGAAAATTAGCGTTGCATTGAGTGCCTCGTCTCCCCTCTCTCAGCAGTCCCGAGCTTAACCCGCTCGCTGCTCCCCGCTATTCTCATGGTAATGGTGCAGTCAGGACCGGCTAATCGGGGGTGGAGGGGAGGGGAGGAATGGGGGGAGATGCCAAGGAAGAGTTTTGAAAGGGGGATGGGAGTTAGAAACACTCACGCTCACGCATATGACGACAAATATAGTCGGACCTGCAATATAAATGATATTGCAGGAAGCTGTACATAGAAGGAAGACGTCCATAAAATCAATACAACTGTTTCAAATACTTTTAAAAAGAAGAATATCTATTGAACAACATTTTTGGTTCCGATGGCGTCATGCTTCTTCTTTTTTTTTTTTTTTGTCAAACTGAACAATTAAGTTATTCAAAAACACTATAAAAATGCAATCCATACAAAATAAGTTGGATACACATTTATTTTGCATAGCCTACATCTATCATGAATATGTAAATTAAAATTGTTGTTTTTTTTCTGTAAAAACGTATCGGTGGTGTGTTCTGAGAAAAGGTCTACAGATAGGCCTACTGAAATTCTTTAAAAATTATATTTATGAATTCAGTAATGCAATTTTGCTTTAAAATATTACTAACATTTAACATTTGTCTGCCAATTTGCCAAATCAAGGTCAGTGTGGCATGACCAAATGGAAGCCATTTTGTTGTCATGTGACCAGGAAAAGAAAACACAAAGGACCCCTTTAACCTGTTCATAAAAGTCTAAAGTATTTTATGCAAGATATTTCGACCTTTTCATAAAAGTGTTTTCATAAAAATTTGTGCACAAAAAAAACTTTTTTAATCTTAAAAATATGAAAATATTTTTTAAATGAATGATTAAGATGTACAATCAATTATAGTGCAAAGAAACAATTTATTACGTTTGGCCTACTTTTTACTTGTTGGTTAAACACTTTTATTTTGTGTTTTTTTAATAATTTTTTATTAAATGTATTATATGTTCTATATTGTGAAGATCCGTACTAGCGTGTCTATAGGGAAAGGGTGGGAGATTCGTGAAGCCATGAAGAATATCATCCAATCGTGTAAGATTTGTTTTGATATTAACATCTTATTTTCAGAATTAATCAGTTGGCAAACTCCAAAACTGAGTGAGCATTGTGCTTGTGTGTGTGTGTGTGTGTGTGTGTGTGTTTGGGGAGGGGGGGTTCATTTGAAGGGGGTGCCAGATTTTCTTGTTGAAAGCATAAAATCTCCTAGCAACAAACAGAGGCTTCCACAGGTTGTTCCCAAAGCAACAGCAATCCCCCAAACTAACCCCAAAACTCAACCCCACACCCACCGGAGAGAAAGAGAGAGAGAGGAGAAGGAACAGACTCCACAATTTTAGTTGAACATTTAAATGCCCATGGACTCACTCGGACAATTTGAGAAACTTTTCATGCACTACACTATTAATTTATCCAATAAGTTCACAAACTGATTTGATAATATCTTAATTTAATCATGGTTTAAATATACGCTGGCAGTCGTTAAGAGTAGAAAAAATAGAAATCAATACTTTTATTCAACAAGGATGCATTAAGTTGCAACAGTAAATACATTTATAATGTAATAATTTCTATTTCAAATTAATAGTGTTCTTTTGAACTTTCTATTCACCAAAAAATCCTGAAAAAATGTATCACGATTTCCACAAAAATATTCAGCAGCAATGTATTCAACATTGATGATAATAATAATAACCATTTTAAAATACCGTAATAATATTTCACAATATTACTGTTTTTACCGAATCAAATAAATTCAGCCTTAGTGAGCATAAGAGACTTAACATTAAACACACAAAAAACCTTAATTATTCCAAACATTAACCATCAATATATACAGTAACTCTTTAATTTCTGATGAATCATGAATATAACAAAAATAAACAGTAACTGAGAAAACTGGCTTCAAAGTCTTTTTGAACTGATTTTATATCAGTTTCCTCTGAATCTGAGCAATGTTGAGTCAATCCGTCTGTAGGACAGCTCATAGTCCAAGAGACTTTTCGATTATACCTCAATTTTCACAAATTGTGTTTTGCCTTTGCAGAATACGTTTACGATTGTTTATGTTTTATCACAATATTAAATATTCAGCATGATAAAGTAACCAGATAAAGTTTTTAACGAGGCAGTAAGGATCTAAGTTTGGCTCTAATGCGTGTTTTGAGGCTCGATGGGACAGGGTTGCTAAGCTCCAGTTCAGAGCTACAAACAGAGAGCAGGACCAACTGCATACTTATGCACTGCTGTCTGCTTGAATGCCACCTAGAACATTATTATGGTTGACTTACATGCTCAAAAAAAAGTGAGAGAGAAGTAGAGCAGGTTTGTCTGTGCAGAAGTCAGATTGAGGTGTGGTGCTCGTTCGTGGGAGAGTGATATAACAAACATTTGCCACCCAATTGTGCAAGAAAAATGAACCCGATGACTGACGAAAAAAATAACGAGCAGAATATCGTCACAATTGTCTTAACTAACGTCATACAGCACACCTACTGTTAGTGAGTCACCAGAAACATGCCAATTATTTCAACTTTGCTCTTGAGCATCAAACATCTCAGTTATAATCATGCAAGCGCTGATCTATTATCAGCTCACTTTTTTCCATATATCGACATTTATAGAACTACAATAATCTTAAAATAGATCAACACAAACTAAAATATAAAACACATTGTTTCTTCTATTCAGTAAATTTGAATCAATCTAGACTTCAATAGGCAGTGACTTTCCTCAGATATCATCATCTGAGATTTATTGGTACAATATTGTTGGATATTGAATATTTTTGAACTGATCAATATTAGTTGATATTGTATATTTATTTGTGCATGCTCATTTCCTCTGCTTTTACATTGATTTCCTTAGTAACACTGTTAAATGTAATCTTACCCAAACCTCAAAAAGATTTTCCATTTTTCATACTGTATAGATCATAATGTTGCAATGCCTAAATTCACTTGCAAAATGATTGGTGCAAGCTGTTAGTGTTTTCTTTTTACTTTATTTAGACACAATTGTATGAAACTTTAATATCAGCCAAAGGCCCGTTCACACCAAGCACGATAACTATGGCTGCGTCCCAATTCAAAGTCTGCATCCTTCGAAGGCCGATTGCGTCACAGCAGCACGACGAAGACTGTCCCAATTCGATGTCCCAATTCCTTCAAATGCGGCCTCGAAATGCGTCCTTTGTTTCCCGGCCAATGAAGGATACAACAGATTGATCCTTCTTGGCCTACACTGTAAAAAAAATCTGTAGAAATTACAGTATTACTGGCAGCTGCTTGCCAGTAACTTACTGTAGTTTTAAATTGATGTTATTTACTGGCAACAGTTTGTTCAAAGTTAAATGAACATTAAACATTAACAAGTCTTCATCTTTACAGAATAAAACTAAAATAACAGCCTCATGCAAAGCATTCTGGGAACCAAAATCTGAAGGAAAAAAAACAGAAAAAGGTTGATGAAGATTTCTGGTTCCCAGAATTCTTTGCATTAGATTGTTATTTTATAATTTAATTCTGTAAAGACAAAGACTTGTTAATGTTTAATGTTCATTTAACTTTGAACAAACTGTTGCCAGTAAATATACATCAATTTAAATCTACAGTAAGTTACTGGCAAACAGCTGCATAACTACAGCAATTTTTTTACAGTGTAGTCTACCCCAGAATTCATTGCACGCTGATAACGACAGTATTTTCTTTAGAGAAATTGCGGGATTAATCCTTAAAATGTAAGTATTAGGTTTCAACTTACTCGAATATCTAATGATTAAAAAAAAAAACTTTAAAGCGGTTTAAATGTTGACATATCTTACTAAAATGCAATTTTATATAGTTTATACTCTTTATTATGTACATAAATGGACCAAGGGGAACAAATTTAGACAGTTCGTGAACCCTGTTTTGTTTCAGACAGTAGAATATAACTTTCCAACAAGTCCAGTACAAACATTGCAGTGGCTAAGCGACAAAAACAATCCTCTTTCAGAATCCATCCTGCTGTAAGAGCTTGAGCACTTAAAATGGCAGACGACAAAATGAAAAATTCAAACATTATTTCACTGTATTTAAAAATAGCACAGAAGAAATACCATAAAACACTATGAAATGGTATACTGGCAGGTGATAAAACTGTTTCAGTTTGCAAGAGAGTTTAATAAAGCACCACACAGTATATACTGTATGTGGATGAACGTGTCTGCTAAAGTTTTAAGAACTAAAGCTGCTTGATTTCAATTCTATTACTGAGTTCTACCCAACTTTAAGTATGAAAACACATTCCTTTCACTAATTTTATCTGAATCCAACCAGACGGGAAAAAAAATCAAGAACCATTGCAGGTATGATGGGTGACAGATGACCTTTCAACACCTTTCATTTTCTGTCTTTCTTAAGCTTGCTCACTCTCGCACACACTTTGTTTGAGCATGTAAACAATATGTGATTTCAGTTTTTTCAGTCAGGGTCCTATTTTTGGTAAGCACATTATTTGCCAACATCTTTGTGAGCTCACAAGAGAAACTGAGGAGAAGGAGAGTGTTTTGACATGCTGCACTGAACTGTAGAAGGATTACAACACTCAGATTGAAGTATTGATCCACTGCAGCTGCTCTTGCATGGTGGATGAAGAGAGACAGAGAGAAAGACAAAGAGAGAGAGAGAGAAACACACAGCAATGCTTTAGTCTTGCAATCTGATTTCTGAAATAGTGTATTTACACTTTACTCAAAATGAATGCACCAACTTGGAGCACTTTTGGCCATGTGGACCAAGAAACTAAACTTTTAAACAATTTTTACACTCTCACTGGTTCATTATAATTGTCTACTAAAAATGTTTAACAGTGCATATATTTATATATACACACACATCAAAGGGGGATTTTTCTGAACGTCATGAACATTTCAACTACAGCCATTTGTCAAAATGAACTGTTTTTAAATGAATTGTTAGAATAAAATGTCTGACTCCTTTAAGCCTAATTTCATAGTATATTTTATAATTTTGCAAAATATGTCAAAATTACAGTTTGCACATCATGTCTCTTATTTCATCTTTGCCATGCTTTTCTCTCATACTTTTGTCTTCTTTGGTAAACATGTATAATAATAACTTTTGAAAAAACATTATTGGGGCGCAAAATTGTTGGTCATGATGGAAATATGACACCACATCTGAGAGGGGTAAACATTTTTTTTAAATATAAAAGCAGTAATATTTTAAATCGATGTATTTAGCTCATTTTTATAAGGTACAATAGATTTATTTAGATTTTCTATAGGGTCTGGGACAAAGGTAAAACAAAAAAATGTATTAATGAAAAGCATTTTAACGTAGCAAAAAATAAAGGCTAAAAGACATGCCAAAAGTTCCAGACAGTTTTAATGTGAACTTAACATTCACAAAGAAAATGAATTGAAATCTGTTCATTGTAATAAACAAAAAAAGATCAACCCCGGCATATAAAGGTGCCTGAAACACCCCTATCTAAATGAGGTTTACTTCATCTGCACTCATTCATAATTTTTAATCGTTCATGTTTGTCCAAATTTCAGAACACCGTGAATGACTATCTACAGTCGGATCTGTATCATCAGCAACCAGCCACTCGAGTGCGGCCCACACAGATAGAAATACTCACCAAACACATTCTTAAGATATACGGAAGAATTGCATCAATGGGCTGCTTATCAGACACAACCAAACAACACACATCAAAGGGATCCGATAATACAGACACACAATCAAAATCTCTAAAACTTGTGTAAAAACTGTAAGTATGAAATACATAAGTTAATCACTTTGTTTTCAACATAACTCTTTCAAGTCCTCTCACACAAACACACACACACGATTCTTTCAGACCCTCATGGGCAGGGCAAACAAACACACGCACGGTGTGGCGTTTCCACACAGACACACAGGTTAGATGATTATGATGGTAGATTGAGGTCTGTCAGACAGGTAGATAAGGAGCGAACCACACGCATGCACAGACGCTTTATGACTCATGTTTCAGCGAGTTTTCATTGCTCCGGAAACACACACAGCCCCGCAGAGAAGACCTCCCACAAAGCAGACAGAGCCAAGACTACACAACCAGACCCAACAAACAAACCACACCACAGCGTCAACACAGCGCCTAAGCAACACCGGGGGACATGCCCTCTGTCATTACAATACCTTTAAACTACTTGTTGACTTCACTACTAATCCCCAAGATACTTTCACCCAACATAAGTAAAAAAAACTGATTATGTAAAAGGAAAAAACTACATGTTAGAGAGTAGCTTTAACAACATTAGAAACATATTTTATTACAGAAAAAGATTTCTGAATATGTGCAGAGTATAGCATAACACTTAATGTTGAAAAATGAAATGAAATCACATCTTGAGACTGAAAAGTGAAAATACAAACATTTCATGAGACATTGGATGATTCACAACCTCTTTTTCCAGGAGTGCAAATGCACAATCTGAGATGTAAATCCAAGTCAGAATTTACCTGACCAATTGACAGAAAAACAGATCTGAAAAAAATAAAGAACAACATATATTTACTGTACTAGAGAATGTATGAAGAGTAGAAACTCAATAATACGCCATAATAGAAGAGTAAAAAATACTCTTCTGCCACCTAGTGGTGCCTTTTTGCAATCTTCACAAGCACACGAGTTCATTACTACTGCCACACAGAGGCTGACTTGAAAAGCACTCAAATGTTCTCATCTTTAAACAAAATGCTAAATGAGTCCTATTTTTAGCTTCATTTGGGAAAAAAAAATTGGTTTGGCTCATTTTGTTTGTAATTAGTTGGTATCACTTTCTAACAGAGATGGATCAGACGACCCTATTCATATATTCATGTCATTGACAATTAACTGAAGTGCAGCATTTGCCCAAGCAAATAAATATAGTTTGATTAGTACTTTTCACAGTAAGCCAAATATTCAGATTTTGCCGAATTAACCTAATTTGTTTGAGGTTTGGATTTTGTGGTTTATAATAAAGCCATAACTAAACACATACAATTAATCTGATTACCATCAGAAAGGGGTTCAATAGTCTTGATAGTCCGGGCAGCTGAAACACTCTTTCCTTTGCCACACAACTCATTCAATAAATGGAATTGTGATCTCTTTGGTAACAAAAAACTCAACTGGACTTCACTATGCACTAGCAGGATCTGACATGCATATGATATTGCTATATGACAAATGGTTTAATGTAGATAAAACAATTAGATTTCACAATTTGGAGACATTCAGTGAATTAGCCCTCCAAAACATACTGTACTATAGGGGACACTAGGATACATTCTGCATACAAGAAGAGTTTATTTTACCTCTTTTATTCAGCCTTGTCTTTCTGCACTTGCCCTTCTTTCTCATGGTTTGTCATGCATTTATTCCAGTACAACAGGACCTGTAAAAGCATCAGCCCACTGCAACAACAGGCCAGTGCATGCATCTGACTTGAGAGAGATAGGCCTGTGTCCTTCAGAAAGAGAGAGAGAGTGATTAAAAAAGTGAAAAGAAATAGTACAATTATAATGGGTAATATTAACATATACTAATGTGTGAATATTTAAATAAGTACATTTATTTTCTGTATGGGAACATATCTTAAGGTCTTGGCTTAAAAAGCTATCAAACATTACTATTATTGACCAGAGCATGTTGTTACACTACAGTGTAAGTTTTCCTAATGGAAGCTGCTAGCATTAGGTTTTCTGAGTTGCAATGGAAAGTAAGTAGTGACAGATCTTTTTCTTACTTATTGTGATGTCCATATTGAAATGTACTATCAAAAAGATTGTAAAAAAATGTAGGGTGGAATACTATTCTATCTGAATAGGAATCTGAATTCTAATCATCGGCTGAATGATTGAAGAAGAAGTCCAGAATACATGTTACCAGAGAGAGATCTGTGATTAAGTTAAAATATTTTAATTAAAATTTATAATGTCAAAAGGTTTTTTTAAACATATGTATAGATGAATTGTTCACAATAAGATCAATAAGGTGAATTTTCCTTTCATGCTAACTATAGACAGTAAAACAGCCACATTTTTGCAAAATAAAAAATAAATAAAGAAAAAAATTCATAACAAACAATTTTTTGGTTTTGGTCAATAAATATCATTATTAATCAACTGCACAAAATGTTTAGAATTTTATAATATATAAAATAGTAAAAAATAAATTATAATAATTATAATTTTAAATTGAATAAAATTTTGACAGCTTGCCTGACCTGGCATTTATGAAAATTACTCTAATTATGAGAAATCTTCCTTCATTATACTGTTGACTACTATTTTAATGTATGCCGATGTGTTTTTATTGTGTTCACTTGGTCACTCAACAGCCATAGTAAAAAATACTATGGCATTAAAATTTTTGTTTGTAGGACAGAATTCACAAAATTATAATTTAAAAAGGAGTTTCAGGTATTTTACTTTTGAAAGCCAACATATAAAACCACTGCTAGAGAAAACATTTTTCTCACAAGCATTTGTGTAATAGGACATTTAACTCAACAACACAGTTATTAAGATATAGACCTTGAAACAATATCCATGTGTGACAACCAACCCTAGTCTCCTTGACATTACAATTTCTGCCCTAAACGAGTGTGTGTGTGTGTGTGCGTGTGAGAGAGAGAGAGAGAGAGAGAGAGTGTGTGTGTGTGTGTGTGTGAGTGAGAGAGAGAGTGTGTGTGTGTGTGTGTGTGTGTGTGTGTGTGCGCGCACCTGCAGGGAACTGAAGATACGCCCCAGAGAGCCGAGAAAAGACAGGACAACTGAGAGCACAGACAGCTGTCCTGTGTGTCCACATTTAAAATTACTGCCTGCCTGGAGGAACTGAACACATACAACATAAAATACAAAAATGTTTGGGGGGCGGGGGGGTTTGGTTATAAAGAAAATGTACACATGGAGATGGGGGGAGGGGGGTTACAAAGTCCTGTCTCACCCTTCCAGCAATAACCAACAGCACATTCCATTCATGCAGGGTCCAAACCACTGACACAGGGGTCAAAGGGGAGGTCAGGAGGAACATAAAGCCACAGTATAGAGCAAGAAAATATATACCTGCATGAAAACCCCAAACAAACATTAGATTATGAAAGAGGAAATTCTCTCCATATGGTTTAAGCCTTCTTTTTCTAACCTTTTATGGTTTTCCCTCGGTAGTGCTGGATGAGCAAAACCAGGACAGCAATCTGGATCAATGCAAACAAACTTTCCCCCCAGGCTCTGCACACACACACACACACACACACACGCACACGTACACGCACGCACACACACACACACACACACACACACACACACACACACACACACACACACACACACACACACACACACACATTCTTAGTGTCTTAACATGACTGCATACACACACTTAGCACAATCTTCTCTACACAGTACATGTTAGCGTTTGACATTAATGCAAAAGATGTTTTACCCAATGGGAAAGTTTTGAGTGTAGCAGAAAGCTGCATGAGTAGAGATGGCCAACAGCTCCAGAAAAATAGATGTCAGACACAGGCCATTAGAACTTCTAGACCAAAGAATTTTCCAGATCTGAGGCAGAGGAGCTGTGAAAAAAAATTAAATGTTATTTTTATTTTTATTAATATCTTGAATACGTTTTTTACATTTTCTGTTTTCATTTTAGTTTTAAGAATTTGTTGTGTGTTTTTGTAATTTTAGTAGTTGTTGTCATTATATTTTCTATAATAACCCAAGGAAGAAGCAGATACACACATACTATAAAACGCAGTGTCAACCGATAGAGCTGAGAAAATATTGAAGTAATTACTACAACTCTGGATGTTATGAAATATGCAGGACTGATGTCAAATAGACTACTACTTACCAATAACAATTCCCATCAAAATCAATATTCCCATAGTCTTTCTCATGATAATCTTCAAGCAAGGTACTAGAGAACAATACACAGTAAAGAATTATCATGTCTACAAGCCAAACACACACTGGACACTGAATATCTGTCAGTGAAACACATTACTAGTCATCTGTCATGCATTATGTTAAATAAAATGCTACCCATTATAAAATGCATTTGTTTAGTATATTGTTTAGGACATGTTTGGACAACATTTTCACACGTTTATTCGAGATAAAGCTGTCTCTCACCGTGCAAAAAGTTGAAGTAAATGAAAAAGTGGTCATAACACTTTTCTGGCATGAAGAAAGTTAGCAAAAATTCTTTCAACGGAGGCATCGTCCCTTGGTCAGACGTGTCCATAGTTCATGTATTCCTGTCGGTGGTCGTTTATCGTATCCCAACCCAAATCTTCAGAACGGAGAATAATCAGTGAATGAACATTGACAGATTCCTCTTAACATGGCTAAACTAATTAGCCGTCTAACATTCGATACGTGACTTTTTTGTCGTCTTTTTGTAACGTCTAAGCAAAATCTTTTTTGAACTAGTGACCATTCATAACAAAAGTCTTATTTGCTCAAATCCACCAAAACTGCCTCTAGTTAGTTTGACGGCAAAGCAAGCCTCACCAATGACGTTTAAGTTTTAGAGGGGCGTGCGTGTCTCTGGATTTAGACTAGCTTATGTTTTTAAAGCTCCCGAATGGAGAGCGCTTTCCTAGAAGTGTTTTAATGCAACTAAATTATCTAATAACCAAAGCCTGTTCAGTTCACAAACGAAACGTTTTTGTATTTCCACATTTCTATGCTTTTATCATCAGTAGCCAATATGCAGATCCAGCGGCACTGAATCACGTGTTCATACAGGGGGCGCTCGCCGCTCATACATAATTAGGAACTGAATTAGGAATTAAGAACCGCACACTACTGCTCTTACTGTTCATGCCATAAAAACATATGGTAAAAACAAAGGCGAAAAGGGTCACTATTCCCTATTGTGAATGTCAGCTTTTAAACAAATGATACTTTTAAAACAACTGATATCAGATGTAATTTGTACATTCTGGAAAAAAAAACAGAAGGCTTTTTGGTCCAGGTAAGGGGCCATTTACATTATTTTCAATTTGCCACTGTTCTACAGCTATTTTAGAAAAGTTTCCATTTATTCCCCTAAAAATAATACACAAGGCAATTAACTTTTTATGATGCTGATTTATTAATACAACAATTTTTATTTTTAAATTTATGTTTTGTCTTAAAACCTCTTTCAATGCTTTGCTTATTCTCACAAAATTCAGTTGATGATTTTTGGTGCATGCATATTACAGGTTTTTTTAAATTGCTTACACACAATTTATGAAACGGCACACAAGTCACAAAACACACAGCATGAAAAACATCACAGATCTTTTGCAAAAAAAAACACTTAATCCTAAACTATTTTACAGTAACTTCAAAAAAAAAAAATTTGTACAGTAACTACAAAACAAACCATCAAATACGTCACACACGGATAAACACGTCACACACGGATGTGAAAAACGTAAAACACTACTATCTTGTCATTCTTGTGTCTTTTGCATACATGTTTGCACAAATACACTGTATATACAGTATGTATGCACAATTGATTAATTTTACAGTAATTGAACTGAACTCAATCAACACTGAACTGACTGAATAATGAGACTATTAGCTGTTCAAACTGCTTTAATGCAGAATTTGAATTTGTTACCGTGAAGCCACTTTGAAACAATCTGTATCGTATAAAGCGCTATAGAAATAGAGGTGACTTGACTTGCATGCATATTCAGTATTAGGCTACAAAAGAAACTCCAATGCAAGGGTGAAAAATGTATTTGTTTCTCAAAACATTGAGTTTTGATTTCTAAATACCTATACCAAAAGAGAAGTTTGGTATAGTTACACTATAAAATTAGGTAGTTACACTATAAAAAAGCAGGCAAGTGCACACATAGATAGATAAATACAATACAATACAATAGACATGCTATTTTTAAATAAATGAATATATATATATATATATACTGTATATATATTCTAATAATGCCATCACAATCGCCACATTGATAAGCAAAGGTGTTATAATTAAAATGCGCTAATTTGCATTTGACAAGGCACAGCAGGTGAATAGGATAAACAAAATAACTAAAGCATATTACCACTGAACTTCCCCTGTTAATGACTTGCATCAAGAGCATTTTCCCCTGAAATGCTATGTTTAAATATGCAGATTCGCTTGTTTTGGTTAATTTAGTGGAAATCTACAGATGCAAACAAACGGAGGGTAGTATAGGCTTAAAACAAACAATTTTTTTAGTTTTCTTTCCATTGGAGTAAAACAAGACATGGAAGCAAAATAGACCAAAATCTAAAAAATAAAAAATAAACAAAGTGTCCTGCCTTAAACAGTAACTTCATAATATTAATCGCAGGCTCCTCATCTAAAACTATCCATTCACTTAGTTTGTTGTATGCTGATAGATTTTTACATGATACAGGCAGCCCTCCCTCAAATGTGAAATTAAGTCCTTGTCACCATCAGTTATTGTGTGTGTGTGTGTGTGTGTGTGTGTGTGTGTGTGCGTGTGCGTGTGCGCGCGCATGCATAGTAGGTGTAAGTATAATAGCAATAATAATAATAATAATAATGTATTTAATCAATACATTAATGTATTCACTATTCAGGCAATTCATTGCAGAAAAGAAAAGAATGCAGAAAGGCTGGAAAAGGAGCAGCAGAGAACAGCCAAGAGTGCATGCACACTGATAGCTTCCTTTGCTGTTGCCTGCTTTTGTGATAAACCTAGTGATTAGACCATTGTCTCTGTGTGAACTGATTATTTTGTAGATATCTGTTGAGTATGAAACAATTTTGTGAGAGTGAGGGAATTAAAATAAATTGGTAAGGAAGTTAGAGTTGTGTTATTTAACATTTTGTTTCATTTAAAAAAAAAAAAAAAAAAAAAATTATGAGAAGTGCCCCAAAATGTCTGTGCACGTCCCTGATAAAAAGATATGCAAGTTATTCTCAAAACATTGATTTTTGATTTTTAAATTAACAAATTAGGTATAAATGTTTTCACACATGGTCACTGGGTGTAGGTAATTGGTAAATGAGTGCGCCATTTAACATTTGGCAATGTTTTCCAAATGAAACACAAGAGCTGTTTTTTTTATGTTGCGTCTACTGTAAAGAACTGTGCAAAAGGTTAGTTTCACAATTGCAAACTGAGTGTAAAGCAGATAATGTGCTTGTAGTTTTGCAGACTTGGTCAAAAGAATGGGTATGAATGTTTTCACTGCGTGGGCCCCAAGTACCACTTTTAGTGTGTAAGCATTAAAAAAACAAAACAAAGAGAGCAAAGCAAAGGAATTGTTTATATTTTCTGAATAGACAAGCTAAGTATGGGGGAAACTGAAGATGTGGATGTCATGCTAATCTATAATGCTAATTTAAAATAATAATAATAATACATTTTATTTGTAATGCGCCTTTCTCAGACTCAAAGCGCTACAGCATGTACAGTACAGAACAAAATTCTAAATTCAAAATTCAATTCAAAGAATTCAAGAATTCAAAAATCAAACATGGAAGTAAAAAAATATATATATAGAAGTATCAAAAAATAGACAAAAATAATAAAATGATAATTTAAAAGCTTGACTATAAAGATGTGTCTTAAGAAGTTTCTTAAAACAATCCACAGAAGCAGCATCCCTAATAGATGCGGGTAGTGTGTTCCAAAACTTAGGCGCGTTATAGGAAAAGGCTCTTCCCCCATGGTTTTAAGCCAATGCAGTTGCTGGAGCAAGGGTGTAATGTGATGGCGTGAGGATGTATGAGTCAAAACACATGCGGCAGAGATCTGTATATATTGCAACCTCTTGATATAATTTGCTTTTAAATCAGCAAAGAGAGAATTACAATAATCAAGCCTTGACGTGATGAAGGCATGGATAAGCCTCTCTGCATCAAGCCTATAGAGAAATGGTCTAATACACGTAATGTTCCTCAGATGGAAAAAAGCAACCTTCGTTATGTTTTTAAAATGGGAATTAAAAGTTAGCAGGGCATCAAAAATCACGCCCAAGTTACGCACCTGGCCAGAAGGGGACAATTGGGTATTGTGGGATTTGTGGGAATTGTGTATGTGACGCCAGTGGAAGCATTTTATTTGACTATCACGTTAAAAATTAAATCATGAAAGAATACTGAGATAAGATGCCAAGATAAGAGAGCTTTTTAATCTTTATATTATTGGTTCATATTCTTTTAACCCTGAAGAGTGTTGTTCTTTGTCTGATCTTAAGTAAACTATTTAAAACACTCCAAAACAAGGGTTTGCTATGGGCAACCTAACCACCTAACCTAAACACCTAACCACTGGTGCTCATTGGATACATGAGATGTAAATATCAAATGAAACAACCTTTTATTAATTGTTTTTCCTTTCTTTTTTTTTTTTTTACATTGGAAGTTACTACAATGTTTTGTGAAGTTGGCTGATAGCCACTACCACTGATGATCCACTGATTGCTAATAGTTTAAAGAATGCTTGTGAAGAAGGCTATATCAATCCGAAATGCAAAGTAGCAATCTTTTTGACCATGGTTTGCCTAAAAGGGTGTGTGTCAGTCGGTATGTTTTAGTATGCTGGGGTTAGGGGTTATGTAAACAGGAAAAGCCTTTAAAGGAGAGGTGTGTTCTTGTAGTGTTATAAACCATGACTGCACCTCTTCTCCAACATAAACTCAGCCGAACATCAAAAACTAACTCACACAGTGTGACAAACAAAATCTGTTTATTATCAGTCATTGCAAATTTGTTCTAATCCTTTAATGGAAATATTAGCACATGTTCAAAAGTGTGGGAACTTTCTTGAGTGAAATAAAACAGTTAAAACAGCAGAATCAGTATATGTTATAAATAAATATAGGCTGGGGACTGGGCAACAGTCGTTGAATAATTCCTATTTTAGCTGGCAAAGAAAATGACATGGATAGATTTTTAGATAACGTTATTTGTTTTACAGTGTCACTACCATGGTGTTTTTGTCTCACTACAGAGACAGTCCAAAGTCCCAAGATGCATTTGGTTTATACCACCCTGTTCAAACATTATTTAGTCAATATAACACACATCCCACACACATATTTCCCCACAGTTTATCATTTCTTCCATGTGAGATCTCAGGATGCAACCGAATGATTATGTACTGTTTGTTATGACAACCAGAGTGAAATTTCTAAATCTCCAAAAAACTTTAATCAAATGCATATAAACATAGATTTGTATAAATTATGACTGTGGTTTTTAGTTTGATGGTGGTTGTTTTAAAAGCTATAAAGTCCTGTTTTGTTTGTAAAAAAAAAAGAAAAGTATGTGTGATTCCAGAGATATCTTGGTTATAGGATTTGCTTCAGTTGAAACGTTAACTATCACATGTCTCTCAAAAACAAGAGAACATAAAACAATTTCTTTTTATATTGTAATATTTAGTTATAGATTCTCCAGAAAGGGTGCGGTTAGAGGAACTCGATTCCATGGGCTGGTCTTATCTTAACTCAATAATAAATGACCAGCAGTATTTATAAAAACACTGCACTCTGGCACACACAACTTCAGTGTGTGTACGAGACTCAGAGGCAACGACCAAACTTTTCGTCAAGTGCTTTTATCAAGTAGCTTTTTATATCAAATACTGTACAGATTACAGCCGTTATTCTCTGACTTCAGGATTAACACCCACCTCGCAGCATGTGTACAGGAAAATGTGCGTTTTGCGTCGGGACAAGTCTGTACCCGTTGGCGGTCATCTCCATAATCTGTAATATTATGCTGTTTTTTCCTGGCTGGGATGTAAAGTACGCGCAGAACAAACAAATTACAGAGGAGGTCAAATATATGGGAGGACTGGTTGGAGGGGGGATAATGGTGAGTCTGGTTATGTTTAATTGTAAACTATATATCAATTATATTTCTATTTAAACGTCATAGCGTGCATATATGATAATATATATCGCGTAAATGCTTCTCAGTTTAGTTTGGAGCTTGTCAGTCACATGTTTACAACAAATAGGCTGCCTTTGTGAGAATATGCAGAGTCTTAATTTGATTTGGGAAAGGAATGTAAGAAAAAAAAAGGAATGCAAGGAAAAGATTTTGCCTTGTTTTAAAAGAAACCATTAGATAATATAAAAAAATACTGATGTTTCATGCGTAATGCCTATCTTTATCAGTCAAAGAGTGTGATTCTCCTTATAAGGTATTATGGTGGTGCAAATGCGGATCAAAGTGAATCTATTCTAAACAGGGTGACCTTGAAACATAAATGTACAAAATGCATTTATTGTGTGTTAGAGTCAATCCAAAATTTATCAAATGACAAAAATGATTAAACACACTGCCCCTTTCTGTCCTCCAGGTGTTGATTCCAGCATTTCACATTCACCTGACTGGAAAGCAGGGTTGCTGTGCTAATCGCTGTGGGGTGAGTGAGCAATCCTGCCACCAACAAAATCTTTATTTTTAGACTTCAGTTTATAAATATCCTTTAGAAATTAAGTTATGAAGAGGATTGTCCACTAGACCTTTACAAGCTCAGGAGAAGGGATGCATTTGTATTGTAAAATAGCGAAACATTTAAAAGTTTCCATATTCAGAGTTTTTAGAAACCCAAGTGCAGAGATTTTATTTTAAGCAAACCTAATCTAAAAATGTAGCTGCAAGCAGCGATGACGGGCCCAAACCCTGGCACTCCACCACTCGGACCCAATTGTGCATGGCGGGCGATGTGCATTTAAAGCGGGTAAATGTAAAAGAACTATGTCAAAATCATTGGAATATGCCACATTTACTGCAGCAGATGGTGCCAATGACCGTGAACCACAACAGCAGCCTCATCCATGATATAAATTAAATTTAGATGAATTTCATGTAATATGAGGTCTCTTTCAAATGAGTGTGGTTATCATTTGCAGCTCAAAATTTTGTAAGTCCATAAGTAGCCTATTTATCTCAAGGTTTAAAAAAAAATGTATTAACCTTATTATTAAAATTATATAATACTATAGTCAGTGCAAGTGCACTACAAATACATGGTTTGTATGCTTTTATTTTGTCATTAAAACTTATAGAAATAGATCCTAAGTCAGGGATAGGCGACATCAGTCATGGAGTGCCACTGTCATGCAGAGTTCCAGCTCCAACCCTTATCAAACACACCTGGCTACAGGCAAGTGAGATTTTTTTTTCAGGGTTGGAGCTAAACTCTGCTGGACAGTGGCCCTTTAAGGACTGATGTTGCATATCCACACAGCAAAGAGTTCAACTCTAAACCATCAAGAATATAAAATAGACTCTCTCTCTCTCTCTCTCTCTCTCTCTCTCTCTCTCTCTCTCTCTCTCTCTCTCTCTCTCTCTCTCTCTCTCTCTCTCTCTCTCTCTCTCTCTCTCTCTCTCTCTCTCTCTCTCTCTCTCTCTCTCTCTCTCTCTCTCTCTCACTCACTCACTCACTCACTCACTCACTCACTCACTCACTCACTCACTCACTCACTCACTCACTCTCTCTCTCTCTCTCTCTCTCTCTCTCTCTCTCTCTCTCTCTCTCTCTCTCTCTCTCTCTCTCTCTCTCACTCACTCACTCACTCACTCACTCACTCACTCACACACAGATCGATAGATCAGTTAGATATTGTTTCGTAGTTAGTTGAGCCAGAAGATTTAACAATTTTAAACCATTTTAAACAATAAATAAATAATTAAAATAAAAAATAAACTGTGACAGAAAGTAGATATTGATAATATCTTATAAATATATCCAAATATATTACCTAATAAAAACAAGTTATTATGTCTGAAAACTCTGTTCTCAGCAAAATCAATTTCAAATGAGCGTAAAGTTATCATTTGCAGCTTAAAATTTTCTCCGGAAGTCCAGAAGTATTTATCCTAAGGTCTTTTTATATTTGTATTAACCTAATTATTAAACTAGTTGTATAAAAGTATGTTGTCAGTGCGCTACAAATTAACTGAATCTATGTGTTTATCATGTTAACAAATTGATAGAAAAAGAGAAGGGCTAAGATATTTATCTTCCATTAAAGGGATAGTTCACCCAAAAATGAAAATTAGTTTATGATTTACTCACCCTGAAGCCATCCTAGGTGTATATTACATTTTTCAAGGCTGAATTTATTATTTTTACCTGTATTTTTTTAAATCAAATAAATGCAGCCTTGGGTAAGCATAAGGGACTTCTTTCAAAAACATGGAAAAATGTAATTATTCCAAACTTTTGACCAATAATTAAAACATTCTCATGAATCGTTTTCTATTTCAGATGTTCCTGTCTATTTTATTTTCAGCAGTGGGTGTAGCTGGCGCCCTTTATAGTTTCATAGTGGCTCTGATGGGTCTAATCAATGGACCATACTGTAAATATTTACTTATCTTATGGGGAACTCCTTTTAAAGACGGGTAAGAGATACACCTCAGCACTGTAAAGCACGTGATAACACATGTTTCTGTTTAAATATGTTGTTGTCTATATCTCTTAGAACCGAGAGTTACCTTAAGGACCGTAGCACGTGGGAAAATGCATTGAGCCAAACAATGTGGTGGAGTTTAATGTGGGTCTGTTCTCAACACTGCTCGTGACCAGCGCAGTGCAACTCGTCCTCTGTGCCATTCAGATGATCAACGGCCTATTCGGCTGCCCTCTGCGGAACCTGCAAAGAGAAAGGGGTGAGAGGCGCCATTTGAGAATAAATTGGTGAATGAGGAATACACGAAAAGTTGTAGCACAATCTAATTGTAATACCTCAGAGTGAATAGTAAAAATACAGCAGCCACACACTCAAAACACTGTGCAAAATCAATTTAATAGCAAGCTTTCGGTCTTGCGACCTTCTTCAGGCATGACCTCAGAGTGAAAAAAAAAGTAATTTTAAAATACACTTGACAACGGTGAACAGTAAAAAAATATCAGAACACTGAATGTCCTCCTGACTGACCAAGAAAAAAACAGTAAAATAGTAGCCTACCAACATATCTTTTTTGAAAATTTACTTTATTGCCTTATTGCTCTACCTCAAGTTCATTATCCTGTCTTAGGTGTTTTTTTGTGATGTATCCCCTGTGATACCCTTTGTTCAATAAAAAACGTAGCCTATACCAACGTGATGCAGCAACGTTAAATTTTATTCATCAAAAAGCATGTGTAATTAATTTAAATCATGAAACATGTTCAATTTAACAGCAATTTGTTAACAGTTTAACACAAATTTCTTAATGTTTTTTTTTCACATTCCATTTTATTTTTACCCAGTTCTGTGCTTTCCGTTTAATTTAGTCTATATTCCATTTTAATGGTTTAATCAAAAACATAATTAATTTAATTAATAAAAACAACTTAATTTATTAATTTGTATACAATAATAGGGTCCTATGAAATGTTTTGTTTTTAAATTGTGTGTATTTTATTATTTATTTTTTTATCTGGTAATCAAATGAAGGCATTAAACATTAATTTATTTTTTTTATTAAAATAAAAACTAAACTAGCTCTTAAATTTTTTGGCAAACAAGTGTTACACAACAGATGGTTAAAATATAACATGGAAGAAATTTTGTTTTAATAATATTTGTATTATTATTATTATTAGTAGTAGTAGTATTACATTAAGATGAACATTATACTGAATTAATGGCTTTATTTCGAACATGTAAAAGACAATAATAATAATGCAATAAAAGCTAGGCTAATGAAAAAAAAAACCCTCAACAAAACAGAAAGCAAAACAATATTAACTTATAAATGTCCGAAAAAGAGTAGGAAGGAAGCTTATAATCCTACCCCTTCTCCACTAGTACACACTGTACAAGAGACATATGTTTCTATCACAGTTTCTTTAAGTTAAATGAGCATAAAAGCACTAATGAGATTGTACTTTGTCTTACGCTTTCTTCCATGTTTTTTAGCCGCTGTAAGCCGTCACTGCTCCAGATGCCAGGGAGATCATGTCTACCATCCACATCCCAGACTCCCTGATCAGTTAACAAGCGCCCTCTTGTGGAAGATGCTCTCTGAACGTTGAAATAGAGCTTTATTTGTACTTTCTGTGTGTACACTAATCTTGTCACATTCACTGTTTGAAGTTGATTGCTGATATTTTGGTTTAATACTTTTTTTTCTCCAAGTAACAGCTTATGTATAACGACTTCCAGATTGAATAATATTTTAAAGGAAAAGTACTTTAATGACATAGCATTTGTTTTGTATCTATCTGTATTTTTATAGTTTAGAAATTAAATAAACATACTGAAAATAAAAAAAAACATCCAAATGGTTACACAATGTGGGGAATGTGACTTTAATCCACATTTAATATTATACAACTTAATTATCTCCAGAAATCTAGGATTTAGCATAGAGTTAATTCAAAAATCACTTAAAAACATTTAAAATAAGTCAAATACACATGCATGAAAAAACAAACAAAAAAACAGTCCTGGTCTTGCAATTCAAGTTTGTAAAGGGGGTTAGGGTTCCTCAAATATAGAATATGAAAATGTAATACTGCAATACTGTACTGGTTACATCAGTAGTTTTAAATGACTTGAAAGATGGATGTAAGCCGGGTCTGTCTACTGTGTAAATGTTTTTTGGCAGAATGACAATGTAACAAACATAAAGACCAACATACAGTGGGGTCCAAAGTCTGAGACCACACTGATCATCTGGAATTCATATTTTACAAGATTTCTCTTTTTAAGCATTTAAAACAAAGAAAATGTAATATAAACACGATTAGCCAGTTCTAGATCATTAACCAAATGTGTAACATTGGTCACTACTGTAAATGAAGCAAAAATGAGACTAATTTTATTAATCATTTTAATGAAAATATATTAAATTTGAAAAATAGAAGCCTTTTCACAAGATTGTCTCAGACTTTTGAACCCATCTAAATAATGAAACACTTTAAATTATGAACAAGCCATTCTCACCTCATCTCAAACAGGACAAAAAAAAATCAAACATACAAAGAATACAGATCTTGACTCAACAAAATAAATACAGACTACAAAGTGTAATCCTAATAACCTAAACAGTTAGCGGTCTCGTCATTCAGGTTTAATCTCAAATGTTCCTTTTGTCTATTAGTGTTTAAAAGTTAATTGCATAGTTACAGTATATTCTATAGGACTTTTAGATTTAAGAAAATGGCAAAATTACAGCGATGTCTGTGGCCCAAGAAGTAAACTAATAATGATTAAAATGATAATAATGGTAACACTTTACAGTAAAGATCAATTTGTTAACATTGTGCTGTAAATTTTTATATAATCCAAAATATTAACATTTCATGTTGTATAAATTTACATCAATGTTTTATGAACAAATTAATTAACAATGAATAATAAACAATACTATATTTATTCATTTACCAAAATAATAAATGCTGTAAGAAATATTATTCATTGATAGTTCATGCTAATTAAAAAAAAGCTACAACCCAACAAGAGAAAAGAACGTGTACTGTTAGTAAGGGGTCAGCTGTCAAACTGGGCCATCATGATTTTGCGGCTGGCTTCATAACCTAAAAACAAAGCACCATTGGCCGGAAATGTACGGATCATTGTGGGAGTCAAACCAGAATATAGAGCCCTTACACCTGCAAATGAGGAGACAAAAACAAAGTCAAATGGGGGTTTCAGGTAATGCATTTAAAACAGATTGAAATAGTTGTGTAATGTTATACACAATAATATGTAGCATACTAAAACACATCTTTCTCTTACCTTCCGTTCTGAAGATATGCATGAAAGTCTTAAAGAAGCCAGACTGCCTACTTGTCATTGACATGACCTGTATCCTGGATTTAACACAGTCCATTGGGTAAACCACAAGCCAGAGACAAGCTCCTCCTAAACCTCCACTGAACACAATGGGGCCTACACCTATAAAACAGACACTCATCAAACATGGACACGTCACATCTCAGAATATATGCCACGCACTTTACCAGTGGTGGACATTAATGAAGTATTTTTACTTTGTTACTATACTTAAGTACATTTTTCGAGTACTATCTGAGCATTTTTATTTTGGGAAACTTTTACTTCACTACATTCTGAAGAATATCACCATTTTTACTCCACTACATTTACTCATTATTTTGATTTGAAGAAATCGTCACCCGCTCCAGGACATGATAGCAGTGTCCAATTTGTGAACAAGCTGATTCTTTTCAATTAACCTGCTAAATTGGTTCGCAAACCGCACTGAACGGTTCATTCGTGAATTGGACCGATCCGATTGCATCGGTTCTGGAGTCAACAACTCACTGACTCAAATGATCCGGTCAGAGCGAGTCTCCAGTTAACAATTCACTGAATTCACAAGTCTGACTCAAAATGAGCCAAGATCATCGGAGCTTGAGTGTGTGCGCGACTTATGGCGCGCACACACTCAAGGATTTATTATTGTAAATGTAAATCATGGTCACAACTATCAGTGGTTTGTGAACTAAATCTGATGTAAAAGGGGCAAGCTGTTTAAGCATTAAATGCTTGAATGTGGACATGTCCATATTTGTGTGTATTACTGTCTGAATGGGGTAGGTTTCAGGTAAAATCTAAACGTTAAAATAATGCAAATTAATGTGCATGCATCTTCCCCGCTGCTGTAGCAGTTACAAATAATGTAAAACCAAATATGTTTGCTTAGCGGTCCTCTTAAAATGTTAACACATTCTGCCCTGTGACGTTTGTTTTTATAATGTATGTCTATATTTAACACACATTTAGTTTTTTCTCATTTCTATATACTAAATATATTTGGTTATTATCACTTCTTTGCACACTTGAATTATCATTAATCAGCAGTATAGTTATCAGTGTATTAGGGCTGGGCGATATGTAAAAAATATTTTATCGATAATCGCCTTAAAAAATATCGCGATATCCGATTATATCGTCTACCCAAGCCCCGCCCCCTATGCGCCCCGCTGGAGACAACACATACGGAATACACGTTAACACAAGTCATGTTGAGTTTGGCTGCACTTTATCTAATGATAGCCTGCGATTTAGTTGGTTTAATTTAATGATTGAAACGTTAAAGGTTTTACTTTGGTTAGTTTGAGCTTAAACGAGCATAAAACATTAGCTTTGCTTGTTATGTTAGTGTTGCTAATAATTTCCTCACTGTTCTTATTGCATCTGTGTTTGAAACGAATTTCTTTTCGCGAGGAGAAATGTTAAATAGGCCTACAACTGAACAGAACAGAACACAATTTGGTGATTGTAAGAATGGTGAATGCATGTTGATGTTATAGCTAGGTGTCTTGTCTTGTCTATTTGTTTTTCATAAGGTCCGATTTTCTCCTTTTTTTGGCGGTATCGCCTGATTTAATAATAAGTTTAATTTCCTATGTGTAGCGCTGTTTTTAAACTTGTATTTTCACACTATAATATATTTGTTATTTGTCTAAAATTAGGAATTAAAAACGAATTGTCGTTCTGAATGAGCAAACACGTTTTGTTTTTTCCTCCTTTTTGGTTTTAGTTCCAAGTTCACCTTAAGCCGTTTAAGAAATAAAAATGACTGCTTTATTTATTTAGAAACAGAAGTCATTAAAAATTATATTTGGGGATTTTTTGTTTGTTTTGTTTATTTATTAATTTATTTAATCTAAAGCAAAGTAGGCCTATAACGCTCCCAATAGCCTACGGAGCTGCCAACATTGCTCCGAACGCGTGCATGAGATAGCCTATTCAAACGCAATTTCTTCATCCATTTGCAATATAACGACATTTTTCTTTTTCTTTTAATTACAATGGTCACGTTTGTGCTTTTTGATTGGGCCTATTTATTATGTGCAACATTTCAATTAATATTCAGAAACGGGTAAAGTTAGCCTACTTCTACCATTTGTTTTTCTGATGAACTTTTATCAGCCTGCAAACCAAAATAAAATAGGCCTAGGCTACTTGATTATATGAAGAAAAATGTTTAACAAAATTACGAAAGTAAGGACAAATGATGTTTGACAGGGAGCGCATCTCAAGGCCGCACAGACTCATGTTGCAGTTGGAGCAGTCAGCGCCGAACAACAGGCACATAAAATATTAAGCTAATTAAAGTTACAAAAGTTCAGTGAGTGATTTTCTTTTTCTTTTGTTCTTTGATCAACATTAATGGTGGCAGCGAGTATACGCTGTCAGTGGACTGATTCAATGGACACTACTGTTTTACTTTCTCAACCGTTAAGACAAAACCGGCTGTGTTTACGGGGATATTTGAACTTGAAAAGAGGTGTGTAGCCTACCTACTGAAGTCTTTCCACGGTTGAAACAATAATTCTTCTGATGTTTATTCGTGTTTATGTGATGCTATAAATTAACTAGAAGTATAATTGTGAGATATAATTCTGTGTATTTGTCAGTGCACTATGTGAGAGGCGGCTCTTTGCGCTGTTTGCGTGAGTGCGCAGCTCAGAAAACAGCGCGCATGCAGACGTGTTCTCTTTCGTCTTGCGCTTTAAGAATGCTATCAAGAATCGATTTTCTATTCTTAATCCTACTAACTAGCCTATAAAAATATATTTCATTCATGTTATTGCATGATGATGTGAATAAATATGTTTAACTAGGCTATGTGAAATATAAGCCTATTGTCATTTTTTGATATGGACGATTATCGTCTGGAAACCGACTGTTAAATCGACATCGCGATACTTGCGAGACATCGTCGATATACGATAATATCGTCATATCGCCCAGCCCTACAGTGTATGACAAGTTTTGGTCATAAAATAAAACTTTTAAGTGTCGCCCACCACTGTACATTAAAAACATGAGCAACGAGATCCAAAAACAAGAAAGAAAGTACTACTAGAACAACTAAAACAAACACTGAACTTGCACTACAGTTCAAAAGTTCGAGATCAGTAAGATTCATTTTTTAAATAAGTCTCTTATGATCACCCAGACTGGGCTGCGTTCCCCAAAAGCAACGTAAGCCTAAGAAGTTCGTAAAAACGATCGTACGACTGATCTTAATATTATGGTCGGTTTCCCAAAAGGATCGTAACTTGAAAATCTTTGTAGAACTACGAGTGCTCTGGAGTAATCGTAAATCCCCAAGTGCATTGTAAAACAGATTTATGAGGTCACCTGCAGGACAACCGGCAGATTTACACTTTTATCTAGATTTACTGCAACGTGAGTATAATATAAGGTTTTGATTGTACTTTATTGTACTCGTGTTTTGTTTAAATTAATTTATAAATGAAATAATTAAAAAGGGAAGAAAAAATAGAAATACACATCTAAATTAAATGAATGAACAAAAAAATCATAAACAAAGTAATGTGGGAAATATGCTTTAAAGACTGGGCAAAATAGGGATGAATTAAAAAAAATCTGTCAATGACTTGCTGATGTGCACGAAAACCAGCCATGTATTGGGCATTTCTTGCGGACCTCCTTTCCTGATCTTTGAACACCCCTGGTTGCAGTTAGTTTGCAATTATGTCCTCCAGATGTTTTGTTTTTCCTTAAAAAATAAAAGATTTGTTCCGCTCTATCTCCTCTAAAAGGACATTAATTTGATCTTTTTGAAAGGTATCTTCTCTTGTTTTTTTTTGTTCAGCCATTTTGTCAGTGCCTCCCATGTATAGGTGCTTTATATATGCTTGATTTCTAATCCACAACAAATGACGATTATTAGGTTAAACGTTCAGAATACAATTCCATATAAGGTTATATTTCAGCGACGCTAGCACGTAGAACGCGTTCTCGCGCATTCATGTTAAGTGCATTTTTGGGAAACGCGCGTGGAATTGCGGCGAGCGTTCGTAACCTTGCACGTAGAGAGCGCTCTTAAGAGCTAAGATACATTGTTATCGGGAAACCCGGCCCTGGACAGTAACAGTGATAGATATTGTGAAATATTATTACAATTTAAAGTAACTGTTTTCTATATGAATATATTTTCAAATGTAATTTATTCCTGTGATGGGAAAGCTGAATCAGTCTTCAGTATCACATGATCCTTCAGAAATCATTCTAATATTTGTGTGATACACTGTTTTTCTGAATACAGTTCAAAAGAACAACTTTTATTTATAATTAGGGTTGGGTACCGAAACTCGGTGCCAATAGGGAACCGGTTCCGACGTAAACGGTAGTAACCAGACCGAATAAGAACGAAAATTTCGGTGCCTGATTTCGGTGCCTAACTTCATTAGGCACACACGCGCACACACACACACACAAGGTCTCTCGCTCGCTCTCTGCCGTGCGTGTGCTACACAGTTTGGAGCACAGTTTCTTCTGTCTCGCATGCGCGCTCTTTCTCGCAAGGTTTGGCTGCATTTCACGTGTAAAATTACGCGTCAGAACGCCCTCTGGGTGTGCCGATAGTCTGAATCCCATATAGAATCAAGCCAATTCATTGGCTGATGGCGCGGGCGCCGCATCGACGCACATCGACATTACGTCGTCATATGTTGGCGCGCGCGCCATCTGCTCCTCTGATTTCTCAGCCGAAAAAGGAAGCTGGTCGGCAGCGCGAGGAGCTTGGCAGCGTCCCGTTCCCTATTGAGAGAACATAGGTTACACCAGTAACCAGAGATGTTCTCTTTCATAGGTTCACTCAGCGCTGCGTAGCTAAGAAGCAGTGGATTTGTAGGCTGCTGTATCACGTGCCGTTTGAACTGACGCGCTACAGCGATCTGTCACATTTCAAAGAGCCAAAACGTTATTTATTGTGTGAATCTCGTAAAAATATTGACAGAATCTGACAGCTGTGGATTTGTTCCATATCAAAATAAGTAACCTTCTCTGTCTTGTCTGTCGGTGTCAGTGTACTCTTTGTCCGCGATTTCTCTGTGTGAAAAGGGTCATTTGCGTGAGTCTCACGGACAATGCGTGAGAGTTGGCAGCTCTGCTAGTAATCTCTCTTAATCTCCAGTATTATTACATTGTTTGATACAATATTGTTTCATTTGATATTATGTAAATATGAATTTTTATTTTATATTGGTCTTATTATTACCATATGTTACTTGTATTTATATTGTTTAAAGATTTAAGTTAATATTGTGTCCAGTTTGGCCCTGTAAATTAAAGGGTATTATTTTTTGATAAAGTGTGTGCGGTTTCATTTTCTTAAGTACCGATTTAAGAACCGTTTAAGCACCGGAACCGTTTAAAAAATACCGAGTAGGTACTGGAATCGGATAAAACCCAAACGATACCCAACCCTATTTATAATGGAAATCTTTTTTGTACCTAAAATCAATTATAGGTTACATTTTTTTACTGTCACTTTTGATCAATTTAATGGATATTTACTAAAGTATTAAATTCTTTAAAAACAAAACTTACTGACCCCAAACTTTTGAAGGGTAGTGTATATACTAGCTTTTTACTTGACAGAAGGGACTCCTACAGCCGACGTTCTGCGCATTATATTTTACATTAACATTCCTGTCGCTATCGACCAGAATCAACTGAATGACCAGCTCTATTTAAAACAAAGAGTTCATTGTTTACTGACTGATTTTAATGTTTGTCCTTTTCCTCCTAATGACTGACTCAGGTATGCCATTTCATTAAGTACACACAGGAAATACCAACCCAATCCGTGAACAAGAAACAAAGTATGGAGTTAGTCATTAGTCATTATGTAGTCAATATTTTTAGATAAGGTAACTTTAAAGATAAAATGTAGAAACTACAGCGGTTTCCATACCCAAGTCATCCTTGGCGCAGTGCATGTACTCAGCAAAGAGAGAGCGACAGAGCTCGTATGCTCCAAAGAAACAGAAATATCCAGGCACCTCACGGGCAATAGTGGGGGTTAAACCCTGGAAGAACCCTGCAGGACCCTCATTATGCACAATGGACTTTATCACCGACCAAACTGTGCTGAAAACACAGACAGATATAATGAGACAGGAGATAAACAATATCATCATGAGTAATACTAGCTCTTAAAAGTAAATGGAAAAATATGTGCACAGTATCCGCGGAAAGGAAGGCTCAATCTTTACTTCTGGCTTTGGGCGATCTTGCCGGAGGAGGTCATCTCATGCATAGCCTGCAGTCGGCACTTCACCAGCTCAGTGGGACATAAGACCAGAGAGGAGAAAATAGAGGCCACAGAGCCTGCGCACGCTTTCTGCATGTCACTGTACAGAATGGAAATGCATGAAAATTTTTAAATGTATAAAATTGTGATGTTCTTACATTTTTTGATCGATAATGATACCGGTCAAAAGTTTGGAAACATTACTATTTTTAATGTTTTTGAAAGAAGTCTTCTATGCTCATCAAGCCTGTATTTATTTGATCAGTAATACAGTAAAAACAGTAATATTGTGAAATATTACTACAATTGAAAATATTGGTTTTCTATATCAATATACTTTAAAATATATTTTTTTTCCTGTGATGCAAAGATTAATTTTCATAAGTCATTACTCCACTATTCAGTGTCACATGATCCTTCAGGAATTATTTTAATATGCTGATTTATTATCAATGTTGGAAACAGTTGTGCTGCATAATATTTATTTTTATAACTTGTGATATTTTTACAGGATTCTTTGATGAATAAAGTTAAAAAGAACAGCATTTATTTTAATAGAAATCGTTTGTAACAATATACACTACCGTTCAAAAGTTTGGGGTCAGTACATTTTTTTCTTTCTTTTTCTGAAAGAAATCAATACTTTTATTCAGCAAGGATGTGTTAAATTGAGAAAAAGTGATTTCTTTTAGAAAAGATTTCTATTTAGAATAAATGCTGTTCTTTTTAACTTTTTATTCATCAATGAATCCTAAGAAAAATTTAAGCAGCACAACTGTTTCCAACATTGATAATAACAGTATCAAATCAGCATATTAGAATGTTTTCTGAAGGATCATGTGACACTGAAGACTGGAGTAACAGCTGCTGAAAATTCAGCTTTGTCATCATAGGAATATTTCACATTTTATAATATATTCAAATAGAAAAGTTAGGCTATTTTAAATAATATAATATCATAATAATATTTCACAATATTACTGTTTTTTTAATAAAATAAATGCAGCCTTGATTTAAGTAAATAAGAGACTGGTTTCAAAACCCTTAAAAAAAATCTACCCCAAACTTTTGAACAATATTGCTTATCACAATATACACATTTTATGAAAAAGTGATTAAATTTGAGAAGAATTTCATATATTTTTTCGGATGTTTTTTAAAGTGAACATCATGTACACCTCAGTGACAACTTTATTAGCAAAGAAGGAATTATAAAATTTAAAAAAAACACACCTTAACCATCTCTGCATCACTTTTTTTTCAATTCAAGCAAAAAATTATTTTTATTTCAAAATAATAAAAATTATTATTTATTTCATGCATTTTGGGGGGGCAACTATACTACATACTTTTCCTGTAGCTCAAATAGTAGAGCATGGCACTAGCAATGCAAAATTCATGGTTACATTTCCAGGGAATGCATGAAATGATAAACTTCCATGCAATCTAAGTTGCTTTGGGTACCGTACCGGCATCTGCCAAAATGCATAAATGTAAATGTACTGTTTGTGACACACAGAGAGAACTTGCCTGAGCACAGCCCCTTTCTCCTGACCAGAGATGTAGCGCACCACCTCTTGGCAAAAGCCGTAGCACATAAAGAGCACAGAGTTCTCCGCGATGTTGGCCATGAGGGCTGGCGAGGTACCTTGATACAGCCCTCGAAGGCCCACCTGTTTGTATGTTGACACAAAGCAGTGCACAAAGCCTCTGTACAAAGTGGGGAATGTCTGCATTTTCACTTTAGCCGTGTCCAAAGGTTGACCACTAAATACACAAGCTGTGCCCCCTAAAGCGGAAAGAGGAGCGGGAGAACAGAAAGAGAGATTTTTTTATCTTGTTAATGAAAATTAAAAATAGACTGTAGGATAGACATATTTACCCTTCAGTACCCTTTGTAACAGCAAAAAAAAGAAGCAATACACAAACAAATATATTTCTATAATGATTTTAATTGGTACTATTTTGGCATTATAACTTTGATCCCATGGTTTAAAATGACAGAATAAAATAGTGTTAAAGGGATAGTTCACCCAAAAATGAAAATGATGTCATTAATTACTCACCCTCATTTCATTCCAAACCTGTAAGACTTCCACAAAGGGCGCCAATGTGAGTGTGCACACCGACGCGAAAAATTGCTTTATATGATGAACAGATTGAATTTAGGCTTTTATTCACATATAAACATTCATCAACTCACACATTAGTTAAGGTAAATATAAGCATGTTAACTTGACGTGCGAAAACCAATGAGGTTCATTCTCTTGTAACGCAGCACGCTTGAGCTTCCGCAAGAACCAATGAGGTTTGTTCTCGCACGTTTGGATGAGCTTCTGTTTATGTTCGCTGATCAATGTTTATATGTGAATAAAAGCCTCAATTCAATCTTTTCATCATATAAAGTGATCGAGTCTCTTCAGAAAATTTGGACTAAACCACTCAATACATATGGATTCGTTTTACGATCTCTTTATGAACATTTTGAAGCGTCAAAGTGTCAGTTGCGTAGCTGTCAAGGGAGGAACAGAAAGCTCTAAGATTTCATCCAAAATATCTTCATTTGAGTTCCAAAGATGAATGAAAGTCTTACGGGTTTGGAAAGACATGAGGGTGAGTAATTAATGACAGAATTTTCATTTTTGGGGGAATTAACCCTTTAAAGGAGACATAGTATCTGAGTTACAAAGCAATTATCTACAACTAATCCACAAACAGTAGCATAGCATGTATTACAAACTTTCTCACCCTCTTATTAGTAAGATCTAAGCTGAACAGAACGGGGCTGCGTTTCTCAAAAGCATCGCGAGCCAAGTTGATTGTAGGTACCATTGGTGACAATGGTTCTACGATCTACTTAGGCTTATGATGCTTTTGGGAAACACAGCCCTGGTCAGTGAGTGTGTACCGTATGTGTGTGTGGTGCAGGGATTGCTGAGACAATAGGTCTAGGCTGTGAAACCACAGAGGTAAGCAAAAACACACAACTCAAAGGTCAGATAAGGACTGACAAAAGAGAGGGTTTACATTGTAGATGGTGGAGCAGAAATAAGTGTCCTACTCTATCATCATAGGGCCCAGGACAATGTTCATGAATGACCCTCCAAAATGAGATGATGCAATGTGAAGTTACCTATAGCTCCAGCAGAGAGGTCTATTATTGCCTGAACCACTGGATGTGGTGCCATGGTGAAATATGCTCCAAGAAATCCTATTTCAAAAGTATGCGCAAAAGATGAGACAAAGAAAAGAAAACATGAGAATACTTCAAACTTCCATTTAAACAATGGAAATGTACTTTAATTTGTATAAAGTAGACTGCTACATAATCCCAAACTACGGTGTAATTTCCCCCCCTCATGATTTGTTGCAGCACGTTTAATCAAAGTATAACTGATAGCTTGTATAGAACTAAGTTATGAACAAAAGTTAGGCAGACAAAATGGAGCGGAATCTCAAGTTTCATAGTAAGAAAGTTCAGGGCGCCAAATGGAGAAATTAAGTCACAAGCCACAACCGACAGACCATGTGGCGTTGAAAAACTCTCACACAAAGCCATGTTTTCTTTAACCACAGCGATGTTCGTTATCTTCACGCCTTTCCGATGCTATATTTTTGCTACAATGTGTGGCTGTCTTTTATGGAACGCAAAATAAAGTAACATAAAAACTGCTCGTTACAGACAAACGTGTTCTTGCATCACCAGGACTGAACACTATATGGATCACGAGATTGAACATCTTAAAAGTAAAACTGTGACAACGTAAATTTCACAATAAAATTTCACCAAGCATAGCCTACCTTATTTCACGAAAGCATTCAAAACGAAAATATGTAGCGAAGTGGTTTGATTCATGCTGGCTGTTAACTAAACTGACACATCTGCGATCAGATGAGTCATGACCTCTCGTCAGGGATCCGTATGTAAAGCGATGTCTGATTCGTATAGTTCAATTGAGTCGAATCCTTTCAGTGAATCGTTTTTGAGCAAAACCATAACGATTCGGTCACGACCAGGGGGGTATTCCGGAAAGCAATTGGTTATCTTACCGTCAAACATACACTCTAGGTTGATTGACCCAAACCTTGCTTGAGGTATGCTGGTTCCAAAAATACGTCCGGTACGCGTTTTGTAATATGTTCCTGTGAAAACCTGTTGCAGTGGGTGATATTCCCCCTGTTGTGGGCATGGCCTTGTTACAAGGCACAAACGAATGGAACTGAAAATATTAATGTATCTAACTTAGTCTTTCTAGTGTATCTACTCACACCAGCCTAGCTTATATATATTAGGGCACAGTACATTTTTAGAGGTAATGCAGGCTACGAATGCCAACAAGGTAGGCTACAACCAAACTATTCAAATTAAATTTAAAGCCTCACAAAAAAAAACAAAAAAAAATGTCTCAAGGCCACGCCCATAATAGGGGAAATATCATGAACATAGATAGATAGATAGATAGATAGCAATACAATATACATTACCTTGTTTTAATAGTGCTTTATAAATCGATATAACTCATTAACTGTATAAATTTTTTGCAATCTATCACGACCTATTAGTCTCATTAAATAGGGAACTCTGGAACAATTACTATGACTAACCCTTAAACATACCCGGGTATTCACATAACCTGCTTTCTGGAATACCTCCCTGGATGTCAAAAGCAACGTGATGGTGTAATGACTTCATGACGTGAAAGAATCACTGAATCATTTTTTTAACCACTTCTTGGAAACGAATTGTTCTAAAGAACCGATTCGCATAATGGCTCAGATTTCCCATCACTGGAGGGATGAGACCGAGGCAGCGGCAGACCCCTCCCTTGGACCAGTTTTATAAACTCTTCCCCTTTCCTGTTGCAATCCGATTCAGTTGTCCTGTAGCAATGTATATGATACAGACTGATTAGAACAAATAAAATCACTGAATGTTTAAACACTGGAAAAAAGTGGCAAATGAGCTACTTTACTGGACGCAAAAAGACACCCGGAACTTTTATACAATACGTCTCAGGCGCCTGCCGGACAGTTGATTGTGCTGCACAGGGAAATGTGCATGGACGACATTGAGGTCTTCTGAGAGGGGCAATCATGTACAAAAGATTATTAAATATATATCAGGTCCGAAATGGATTAATTCATACGCAGAATACACGACTACCATCCACAAAATGTAAAGAGAAGGAGCGCTTTGCTCCTGTTATCTGGTAAGTTACAGATTACAGACACTGAGAGTGAGAGGTGACCGGTCTGATCATTTTGACTGATGTTTGTGTGTCAGTTCAAAATCTCAATCTCAATCTCAAATTGAAATATCTCAGATATAAATAAAAGAAGACTTGATCAACATGCTCAATTTTCCATTCCCATGTTGATTGTGTTACTAATTATAGCTTTATTATTTGGTGATTTAACCAAAATGTTTTTGTTTTGTTATTCAAATTCAGATTTAAAAAAAAAAAAAAAAAACTATTGTGAGCACTCATTTCATCAGATTTTTTTCTTTTCTTTCTTATTTTAGGGCCATGGGTAGAGCAAGGCCATTGGGAACCAGTAGCATCTTTTTCAGTGAAAATAAAGAGAGCTCCACATCACTGTCAGAAGACAATGAAAAGAGACCAGAAGAGAATGAGGCTAATGCTGAGGTCAACAATGATGGACAGAAGAACACAAATAATGAGGGCAATAACATTTCAAATGCAATGTTGACATCACAGTTAGAGACTGAACCTGTGGTTAAACCTGAGGACAGCAAAAAGTTTGACAAGACAAAAACTGGGAAGGAGAGTCTTTTGGAGCTGCTGGGGGCAATGAAGGTGGAGGTCACAACCAAACGTAAAATAAGACCCCCAAAGATTCCAAGAATCAGTGACAGGCCCGACCCAAACCCCATGGAAAGCGTACAAAGCATGTTCCAGCATGCAACAGCTGAGGTTTCACAACAACGGTGAGTTATATACAAGCATTCATAAATACGTAATGCTGGCACAAAAATGCCTGTGATAACAGCACTTCCATATATACAAAGATCTAGATTATATGATTAAGATTTATAAACTATGGTTATTATACACTCACCGGCCACTTTATTAGGTACCCCATGCTAGTAACGGGTTGGACCCCCTTTTGCCTTCAGAACTGCCTCAATTCTTCGTGGCATAGATTCAACAAGGTGCTGGAAGCATTCCTCAGGGAGTTTGGTCCATATTGACATGATGGCATCACACAGTTGCCGCAGATTTGTCGGCTGCACATCCATGATGCGAATCTCCCGTTCCACCACATCCCAAAGATGCTCTATTGGGTTGAGATCTGGTGACTGTGGAGGCCATTTTAGTACAGTGAACTCATTGTCATGTTCAAGAAACCAATTTGAAATGATTAGAGCTTTGTGACATGGTGGAAGTAGCCATCAGAGGATGGGTACATGGTGGCCATAAAGGGATGGACATGGTCAGAAACAATGCTCAGGTAGGCCGTGGCATTTAAACGATGCCCAATTGGCACTAAGGGGCCTAAAGTGTGCCAGGAAAACATCCCCCACACCATTACACCACCACCACCAGCCTGCACAGTGGTAACAAGGCATGATGGTTCCATGTTCTCATTCTGTTTACGCCAAATTCTGACTCTAACATCTGAATGTCTCAACAGAAATCGAGACTCATCAGACCAGGCAACATTTTTCCAGTCTTCAACTGTTCAATTTTGGTGAGCTCTTGCAAATTGTAGCCTCTTTTTCCTATTTGTAGTGGAGATGAGTGGTACCCGGTGGAGTCTTCTGCTGTTGTAGCCCATCCGCCTCAAGGTTGTGCGTGTTGTGGCTTCACAAATGCTTTGCTGCATACCTCGGTTGTAACGAGTGGTTATTTCAGTCACTGTTGCCCTTCTATCAGCTCGAACCAGTCTGGCCATTCTCCTCTGACCTCTGGCATCAACAAGGCATTTCCGCCCACAGAACTGCCGCTCACTGGATGTTTTTTCTTTTTCGGACCATTCTCTGTAAACCCTAGAGATGGTTGTGCGTGAAAATCCCAGTAGATTAGCAGTTTCTGAAATACTCAGACCAGCCCTTCTGGCACCAACAATCATGCCACGTTCAAAGTCACTCAAATCACCTTTCTTCCCCATACTGATGCTCGGTTTGAACTGCAGGAGATTGTCTTGACCATGTCTACATGCCTAAATGCACTGAGTTGCCGCCATGTGATTGGCTGCTTAGAAATTAAGTGTTAACGAGCAGTTGGACAGGTGTACCTAATAAAGTGGCCGGTGAGTGTATATTTGATACATTTTATATTTTTAGTTTCGGACTAGCAAAAAATATCAACTCTGAAGTGAGAGTGACAGCATTTTTCTGCTTTTGCTTGTATTTTAGTGAGACTTTGAATCCAACACTGGTTGCTGCAGCCTCTGCCGCTGCATCTACACTGCCAAACAGCCGCCAGGCAGAGTCAGAGCTCCTTCAGCAGCTGAGGAAACATGAAGCCATACCTGACACCCAGAGGAGAGCCGATGGACAGAACATCGGGTAGGGCTCGTTTCAGATGTTGCTTGTCTGAAAGTCGCATTAAAAATGAATAAATGCTATTGTGAACTCTTCATGTACCGGTATGATTCATTACGTTTCTTTTTTTTTTTTCTTTTTTTTTAAGAGCCTGTAATTTTTAATCAAAATCTCCATAACTCGATCTTCCGGTTAAATGACAGACTTCTCTCTGGTGACATGTTGCCGTCGGTTTTCTCCAATCCCTTTGTCAGTTTAAACTTCGCCCCTTTCTTAATATCAACTGCAATCTCGCATTTAGATCTGCCTCCATCCAATCGACAGCCAATGGATAGAACCTGGAAGTCATCTGTCAAAAAAAAATCCTTTTTCAATCATCACAATAGTCAAAAAAATAATCCATCACTCCTTATGGTACATCACAACTTTAATTGCTTAAAAATACATGATTTTGTGAAAGTAAGATTTCATTTGTTAAATATTGTATGGATATTGCCATGTAAATGTATGAAAGAGTCAAATAGGAAATAAAGTGTTACATGACTACATTTGTAGTAACCATTGTTTGTACTTTTTCTCTTTAAGAGATATAATTGCTGATATGAAAGTTGGAAAAAAGCAGAATGGCAGATCAAATGCCAGGCCTAGCAGCCAGATTCGTTTTGACGATGACGGACAGGGATATACTCAAGACAGAGGTATTACTGGTGAACTTGATGCAGTTCGCACAAGGTAAAAAAAAAAACACTTCCCTGAAATTATATTTTTGAATGCAATACATTTTCCACTAACCATGTGCATTGTTTTGTTTTTAAAGGAAGAGTCCTTTCATTAGTAAGAGGCTGAACATCTTTAATGCAGGTGCGGAGCAAGACTCATTGTCAGATTTGGGTAAGGAGAGGTTTTATGGCATTAACACATCTAAACTGGCATATGAGTATCTTCAGGTGAAACTAAGTGTATTTACTTACTCTGTCCTGTGCCTTGCTTTGAATGTTAGGCCCCACCCTTTGGGACATTAATCTAGCTAATCAAATTGTCCAAGCTACAAATCAGATGCCTCGGAATGGCTTTGAGGAGATGATCCAGTGGACCAAAGAGGGCAAACTTTGGCAATATCCAATCGACAACGAGGCTGGTGAGTTCCAATGCAGGAATAGGTTGCAACCATCTTCCTGTTTTTAATCCTGTACATAATCTTATTTTTTGGCACATCATGCAACTTTTTCAGGGCTGGAGGATGAGGCAAGTGTGCCCTTCCATGAGCATGTGTTTTTGGAGAAGCACCTTGAGGGATCGTTCCCCCGGCAGGGTCCAGTCAGGCACTTCATGGAGCTTGTAATTACAGGCCTCGCGAAGAATCACCACCTCACGGTTCAACAGAAACAGGAGCATATCGCCTGGTTCAGAGACTACTTCCAGCAGAAAGACGATGTCCTGAAAGA